AAATTGTCAATTTTGACCACGCTATCATCAACTTCGTTGTGGAGCCAGGTTTCCGAATCATTACGACTCCAACCTTCGAATATTCACGTCTCCTTGTCAGATCTACTAATTCTGACATGTTGCCAAGCAGGGAGCGCACATTTCCACTGCCGGAATGTAGATGTCTGAAACTGATCGTCTGCGTAGTGCGACCTGCCATCCAGCTCTGTGTTTTCTGGGAAACGTTTTGAGATTTCCGTAAATTCTTCTCTCCCTGTTACGAACAGATTTGCCGAAAGAAGGTAAAATCCGGTGGCCAGAAGTTCGAAGTTGCTTCATGGAAACGGCAGAGTATTTGACGGAATTTAAGATGACCATAATCACACAACGTTTCTATGGCAACGGAGGGCGTGTATCCCAGATAACTCCAGTGAAGAGTGATTATATAGTTCCGAGTCCGACGATGTAACGGACCGCGCGGCCAATTGCGAAAGCCCCGCCAGTCTGTCTAAGTATCACCTTCGCACTACTAACTGCTTTGTATATCGCTTCCTACGTAACTTCTGCTTTTCGGTCTTATTTCTCTCTCTCTCTCTCTCTCTCGCACGCACACACACACACACTCACGCGCGCGCAGTTCCTCATGATTTATCAGAACTTGTTCCTTGCTCGCACCACTTGAAAAAAAGCGGTTGGTCAAGTCTAGTGAGTAAAGTGGTGCATAATCGCCCCAATGCTCAATGCTTTTCGCACATTTTATTTGGTTTGACTAAAAAATATTGATGTTGTCACAATATCGATGAAAAAACGTAAAAATTGGAATTGGATTAAACTATGAAAACCAAAATTTCGAACTTAACAACACCGAACAAGGTAATCCGATATTTGTTGCTGTATGTGGATGATGATGAGAAGTGTGGGGTGTGGTGGAAATTCTAGATTGGGGCGAATCAATATTGAGGACTGCTTTTGCAAAGTAAGATATCTGACAAATCACTGGTGAAAACATGCTGTGTGTTCTCAAAGAACACTTTTCTGTGACAACAAATGAATGGGAGCGTGGTAGAATTATATTTAAACAATTTCCAAACATACACATAGAACACTGCACTATGAGCAAAAAAAGTGATTACAGCGATTGTGCCTCTGAAAGATCAGGATTGAGTGTTTCGGATTGTGGCTAGTCACCTCACGAAGTGATCTCTTACGAACAAGCGTCTCAAATAGCTTCTGCTGAGGGAGCCCTACTCACTGCCTTCTCGTGACAGACGCGTTTTCCCACTGAAGTGATAGAACGAAAATCCAAAATCTGGTCCTGCAACTGGCTCGGTAAATTATTGGAAGTTCACCTAGAAGAGTTGACGAAATACCTTGATTCAAAACCGACCAAGAAGAGGCGCATGAGCCACAACGACCCACCCATTCCGTCCTGGTTGTGGCAATGGTATTGTGTATTGGGCACCTTTGATATTTGACCTCGTCCGAAGAGTGTATGATACGATGAACTGAACACCAGCCACCAATGAACTAAGGTTTTCCCACACCGAAATGACACATTGTGCGTTAGATCTTGGCTATTCAAAGGCTACGATTCTGGATTCCCGAAAAATATTCACCTGCTTTGGCTTTGGCAACCTGGCAGTATCGCGCCTACAAGCAAATCACGGAACATAAATATTTTGTACAAAGGCCGCCAGCTTGCAGCTCAAAGTGAATAAGGTGGGTCCGTGTTCACCGAATAGGTGGTCGCAGATGATCAACGGTAGTGTTCAAGGGTTCCCCGCACCACATATATCTGTGGATAGCGCTGTGACGTGACCCATCACTAAAATATGGTCGCTGACCCTCGTCGAGTTCAATCTACACGAAAAAGCTACCCATAAAAGCGAATAAACCGAAATAACTGACCACTGGCTCATCAGTAGTGATGCTGCCGCTGCGCAGGGCCTAGAGTGCATCCTAGATCAAGGGCTACTCTGAATCGGGCTCCAAGTTTTGGAGCTCTGAGCAGGTCCCCTCATTGTGGAGAGAATCAGTCATCGTCCACATTTTCAAGAAAAGAGTGCAGTGACTGTGACAACCACAGAACCATAAGTCTAATCCTAGTAGCATCAAAGCTGTAGGCGTCATTCACTTTTCGTAAATCATAACATTCTCGTGAACAGTAGACCCGTGAGAAACTGTGGTTCCCGCTGGTCGTGGATGTATCGATCATATCTATACTCTCCATTTACTAGAGCCCCGTTATAATTGCCACAGACCAACGATCATTGTGTTCTTAGACATTCGCACATCCTTCGACTCCATGAATAGGACCGTACTATCTCAATCCTCAAAGAGTTGTATTGTCACACCTCTAGCCAGATTAGGGCCTATGACCAGCTTACGCTACAATTTGTCGTCTATGGGGGAAAGCGGTAAAGTTGCACTACTGGGCAACCATCGTTGCACATTATCTTGTCCCTCTCACCCGTGACCTTAGACAATTAAATCTCCTCTGATCCTGTCTGCGATATGATTGTATCATGTTCCGCGATTCGCGCCATTTGGAATCCCTCAAACCGACACGACACTGTCTGATTACCGACTTGTACTTTTCGTTGTCACGTCCAGTCCATCCGTGATGTGATGGCATTCCTGGTACATGTGCAAAATTCTAGTTGGCACACAGCATCATTGGTACGAAGTGAATACGAACTTGGAGACTCGATTGGATGATGGGTTGTGCGTAGACGATCATGGAGATATCTAAAGCGAACCGTTTATTCCCGAAAACCGAGAATTGAGGAGATTGTTTTTCATAATATTGGTTCTCTCCTCTGGAATTATACTTATGATGTAGTTAGCAAGATAGTTCAACGCGAAAACAGCCAGTTGGGAAAATGTCAAGAAGAGTCTTGCATGGGCCTATATTAGTGGTTTTGTGGTCAGTACTTAGGACAAGTTCAAAGTTTTATTATGGTTATCCTTTTACCGGACCCTCTAAGAAAAATAGCGCCTGCATCTCAGACCAGTAAAGTGTTGGCGCATTGTCATCATCGCTCAAACTTTTCCCATTCGGGATTTCCCATATGGCTCCACAATTGATTCTCCTGTGGTGAGTCATTGCCACGACTTAAGCATCAGATTCATAACTCATCCTCCTCCTACCTATGCCCGACAATCACAGGACCGATCGGGTTTTGACTATAAAATCGCTTTGATAAAAGTTACCCACGGCAACCGAAACGTCGGCTTATTTTCACCTGTACCGACATCGTTGTTTTCAAAATTACAACTTATGTAAAACCGATCGGGTTCGTTTATAGATCGGTCGGACGGTTCAGCTGCAACAAGGGACCTGGTGCTTGCCTAGCTAACCCGAGGGAGGAACCACACCTTGTCTATAGCCGCGAGTCTTTAGCAGGCCTAGTGAACTTCGACTGCACAGTAGGAGTGCCATCATCACACGGATGGACTGGGCGTGACAACAAGAGCATCACGAAAAGTACAAGTCGGTAATCAGACAGTGTCGTGTCGGTTTGAGGGATTCCAAATGGCGCGAATCGCGGAACATGATACAATCATATCGCAGACAGGATCAGAGGAGATTTAATTGTCTAAGGTCACGGGTGAGAGGGACAAGACAATGTGAAACGATGGAACAATCACACCCTGTATCCCCATTCCTCTTCAACTTAACCATAGAGGATATTCTACAGAATGCTTTGTACGGTCTAGCAAACGGTGGAGTTGAAGTTCTCACGAGGAGCAGAGTTTTTGATTTCGAACATGTCGATGACATCGCCTTATGCAATGAAAAGGTTCGTGGTCGTGTGTTAAATGCTGGTAGTCGTCATCTAGACCACCTCCGATGGCTTGGAGAATTATTGTGTAGGCCTGCCTAGCACCTACCTTGCCCTGCTCTCTTTGTGCATTCAGAGCAAGGCTAGAAGAAACGTCGCGACGGTCAGACCATGACTTGGTGTAGAGGTATGAAGAAGTTGGCTGCGGTCGGTGCAGCCTTCCGAGTTGCGGCCCAAAGGACTAGAACTACCGTTGGTTAAAAACTCTGAGAGGTATAGCACATAATAGAAGTCAATGATGCGAATGCTCTCAGGTCTGCATGTTGAAGCCCAGTGCCCCATAGAAAGATATTTGTTATAACACAACTTTGTGTGATGATCAGTAGATGAGGAAATCATCAGTCACGAGGACCTGCTGTTCAGTGATGGAAAACGGTGACCCAAACCCCGGGACTTGGAGTGGCAAACCACGTAAGGCCCCACTAGGTTAGGCGTTGTATTGAACAGGACGACAACAAAGCTGCCTACCAGCAAACAATAATCATAAAAAGTTTACGTTGAAACAAACATGAAGAACACTGTTATTATTGCTGGTTTCGTTCTTTGTAATTGTGTTTTTATCTGCATTTCCTCCCTCGCCCCTTTTTTCTACTACCTGTTGTTATTGCTGACAAGTTGGCAAGGAGTGACACCCGTACAATGGAGTCTGAGAATTCGCATGGAAATGAGTCTCCTAAACCTGAAAATCAACAGGTAATGATTCGTATCAGAACATCAAACTAGTCGAGACTGCAAACACAACGACTGTAAACGGCATTTTGATTACACTGAGCAGACCACATCATCGAACTACATATAACCGACCCTTCGGTCGTGCGGATATATCATCCAACGTGGTTAGTATCAGTTAGAAGCTCCCAGGTTAGGAGAAACGATACGACTCCCCACTTTGGTAATACTAGCCGATTCCGTGGAGGATATTAGAGATACGGATTTACAGTGTCTTCACACTATAACAGGAGGCTTGTGAAGAAGATCTGACGCGGTCCCCGAAAAGACTGGGATAAAGTTGCAATTGCATGTGCCGACGGGGGGGGGGAGGGGGGAACATAGATCAACGCTCTAATTGGATTCATGGCATTAGGGTGAAGAACACGAACACCGTCAGTTACAGTCAGTCACAATCGAGTGCGTGCACAGGGAATCACCTCGGCACGGACTCAAACATCCACCCGGTCAATTAGATGTGAGCAAAATGAGTGAGGCTGAAAATATATCAGGATGAAGTCGTACCAAGGGCATGCTGAACGCAGAAGGAGGATAGTCTGAAAGCTAAAAAGTAAAAAAGATCAAAGAGAGTTTTCAAAATGAGACAACTCTTATACGAAAGATAAGTCGAGTTTGCAACGATCAGAGAGGAGAATCACAAGTTGTGTGAGATCTGGTGTTCATAAGGTCCATTCCAATCTGTTCAGTTCAGTTTAAACAAACATTAAGCATGCACTTCCATGTGTCGCTTTTGGCTGCCCATTAGAAGGAAAACATGAAGGTTGAAAGTAGGATCGAAGTGAAAATTGAAAAGTTCAGTGGACTAATGAAGCGAAGAAATTGACGAGACAGCGTTTAAGACACTCAGTGTCTCAAATCATCGGGTACGATCAGCCCGAGGTCCCCAGCCAGGGAGCCTAACGGGACCTATATGACCCAGACTCCTGGTTAAGGTTTTCCTACTCTCATGCCAGGTCTTAGCTTGACCGCCCTTGGTTTTATTCCACCCAATACCTGCCTCGGCAAACATCGCGCGCCGTGGCAACCTATCTAGTGACATGCGTAACACATGCCCCAGCCACTTGCTCCAGTGGGCGACCGCGGTTGCGTAAAACTTTGCACCTAACCTCATCATTGCTCGTCCGGCTGTCCCACGAGATTCGTGCAATGCGACAAAGAGCGATGTTCAAACACCGACAGTTTATCTCCATTCCAGTCGATTGTCAACGAGCGGAAAAGCATGACATTTGATAGCACTGGACCTAAACGGAAAGACTGGGGCGAAGAGCAATTCAAGTGGAGGGCAATCGAGTCCGAGAAGTCCTAGTAGTGCACCTCGCTAAGGTTGTACTCCATATGAGTAGTATTTTGATGCGTGTAAATTGAAACAATCTTCATTTTCTCACGACTTCTCACAGCAGCAATAGAATAATGAATTTCACGTGTAGCGAGAATAACAAACTGTTGAAATATTTGACCAGCACTCGGATATTTTTCACGAAAATGCAACTACTCTTTGATACTCGATTTGGCCTCTACATGTTATATTACTGCTATAAAGAATTCCGCTAAGATAAGGGTGGCGTTGAGCCGGACGATGGAGAAGCTGCGTACCATCAAAGTTAGGTGGTAAAGGCTGGGTTCGAATCTCAGACTAGTGACAGCGAATTAAACCGTTTGATCACAACCAAGAAGAGGTAATTCAGGTAGCCCACTGAGTCTTGGGAGCATCTTATTCACGGATTTCATAATTCGCAGGAAAAGAGAAAGTAAAACAACGCCAAAGTGAACAGCAATCAGAATGGAAATAATTGATACTTACTTGGTTCTCATAAATTCCGTTGTCCATGGGACTGACTTCCTCGTCGATTCGCTCGGGATTCGACATTTCACCGAAACTAGGTCGACCGGAACAACCGACCACGACACGACGTGCGTCCACACGCATTCGAGCCGAGCCGGAATCGCTCAGGCGGTGCTGTTGTTGTTGTTGCTGCTGCTGCTGTTGTTGTTGTTGTTGTTGATGTTCTTCTTCCGACTGTTCTCGTTTCACATTAACCATGCTTCTATGAGGATTGGATGGGGCGGAACCAGTCACACGCATTATGCCAACACCGGTCGACTCGACCTCACTTTCCGCGTCTGTGGTTGCGGTTTGCATCATCAGATCCGGGAAGAATGACGGTGTGTCTGGCCCAATCGAACTGGATTGTCCAGACGACTGACTCAGACGACCGGGAGCAGATGAACGGGTTGATCCAGCAGTTCCTAGGGTACCTGAGTTGGCAACGCCGTTATTAGCTCGTTGGTTTGATTCGGTCATAAGGAGCCAGGATTGATAGAGTGATTCAAACGAGCCAGATCCACGGGGTGAAGGGGTTGGTGGTGAATTAGTCGAGCCGGTGCTAGCCCGAATTTCGGCATTCTGTTCTAATGTCTTTTACGTGCGAATTGTTCAATGATGTGGAAAGGGGGAAACATGTGAAAATAGCTCACTATAAACAGAGCAGTGGCAAATTCGACCATATGCATAGATCTAAGTAGAAGATTGTCATGAAAGAACAAAAATGGGGTCTAAGAGTTTTCTGGTGGCAAGATAGTAGATCGTGTTCAGTTTATTCGTTTGACGGTGGTGCAGCGTAAAAGCAAAATCTGCGTACGATTCGAATAAATGAACAAACTACATCATGACTCAAACAATTTGTACTGAAGCAGGTGTTTGTGTGTTGGAGTAAAACTGCATGAGCAGGAAGAACACGTTGAGAAAGCAATGTAAAATAGCAGGAATTGCTACCGTGTTATGGCAAGAAGAGCACGAAGGTCTCCTGGGTTTCTAACCAACCAACCATACCCATGATACCCAATTGTAGGAAGGCAGTTAGCATTATTCCTGTTCCTCAGCAAAACTTGATCCAAATTTCGACCAGTACATCGATTGTCCTGAAAATTTCGAAAAAGATCCACTTAAAGAAAACATTGGTTTATTCCAGCATGGACGACCACAACCAATCTGTGTATCGTTGCTTTCGTTCTGCCATTGATTCCCTAGCGTCCCTAACTCATGTCTTAGCCCCCCTAGAAAAATGTACAAATACGCCAGATATTGTTTCATTGACCACAGTAATGCATTCAATGGCGTAAAATGAAGCCAATTCATTTTTATTGTTGTTTATTCTGGGTTTCTCCACTCTCTGAACGGTCTACTGTGCGATCATTTGTCCGACCGTTAGCAGTTCACACGTTATCGATGTCAGATGTTCTCCGCTACGAGTTCCACTCAAGATCAACTTCAGGATGCGATTTTCTCACTATTCTCCTTTTGGATATACTTATTTTCCATGGTCATCTCTGATGATAGGTTGTTTATAGAAATATGCGAATCGTTTTCGTCATAATGACCACATTTGCAACACTGAGTAAATTTGTTTGGACAGGTCTTACGGGATCAGTACACAGATGAATCAATACTAGCATTCGATGTTTTGTAGGTGGGCTGTATGATGAGAATACAAAAGACGACCGGATACGCATGACTGACGAGCGGCAAGAATCGCGAAACCTGCCGCGTGCTTTCGGGGCAGTTTTGTCTAGTCATTCATATACTACTTATTGCAAAATATTACACAAATATGCGACGGCGTTACCTTTCTAATACCTTATTCGGACAACTACCACTTTCCAATGTTTCAAAATAATATTTCAATACTCAATTTACATTTTGTGCAGTGGTTTAGTCGTTGTCACAGGCATACTTTGGACCACACGGTCCAAGGTTTGAGCCCAGCTGTGCTGTCGTTCGGTTCAACATCACACCTAACCTATCGGAGCCTTAAAGTGGTTCACCACTCCAAGCCCCGGGGCCTAGGTTACTGGTTTCTATCACTGAACAGCAGTTCCTCGTGACTATGGGGCTTTCCCCCGTCTGTCGTTCATTACACGAGAGTGTAATAAAAAAATTCACTCCTTTGAGTGTGTCACATTCTGTGGTCGCAATATTGCTTCTTACATCAATTCTCTCAATGCATTTCTCATCAACTGCTACTCAATGGTGCATTCCTCCATGGCCACACACACACCAAATATTTTGAGGTGCACTTCAATGGAAATCGCGCTTGCTTCGATCACATCAGAGCTGTATTTAGTAATGTTTGTAAGCTTTCATTCTGTGCCCTTCGTTCGAAGGCGTAATCTGAGCCCGTGCATCGCATTTGATATTCTTCTATTTGTTGCCGCACTGGCTTTAAGCAACCCCTGTGGTCGTTATCGGTATGCTTACTGTGCATCTCAAGTGAGCGCCACTTGGAGTGCTCTCGTTTCTCTCGTGTGCGGACCAGACTAGCAGTTCAAAACTTATGGATACCTCTTCCTTCAGCTCTTTTATTCAAAAGCAGAGCCCAAAGGTGGCAACCAAAACCGGCACATGAAAATCCACCGTTGTAAAAAACTGAAAAATTGAGACTGAACTTTTTCCAGAAGATCCTTGACGATCTGACTAGCAGACCATACATTAGGACATGAGCGAATGTGTTTCCATCCCAACCACATGTACCCAGATTCAAGGATTCTCGGTAGCACCATACCTTGTCCGCCTCTTTTCTGACTCTGGCCGATTTTTATAAGACGTTATTTCGGTGTCGAATTCGCAACACATGCGTTTCTAAACATTGCTGATGGTTTTGCGGTCGTTGAATATTCACCAGACGGGTGCAACACAGCACATAATGGACTTGACTTTAAACATAAAATGTGTCTCGCTTTCATGAACGGCATACTTGAGAGCTGTTTGTGTTCTAATGATGCAGCTATAATGATTTATGGTGAAATCGGGGGAGAGTTGGGTGGGAATCCAAGATTGAAAAAAACATTCTACATTTGCGGGTGTGTAAATGAATGGGTCCCAATCGCGAACTTTGCTTACGGAGATCGAAGCCTATGTTACACTGTTCATCACGTATTTTGATAGTCTTTCATCAACAGTAAACTCGCTTGTATCAAAACCACATTAACAGAATGCTAGTACATGAACGGGATGTATCTGTTAGTACACTACTGTCTTATGCTTGTATATGTTAACCTTGAATGACAATCACTCACTCAGGACAAATAGCTAGCTTACGTACTACCGTTGCGGCAGGGAAACAAATGAATAGGAATATTATATTGGTGCGCTTCGAGCTATCTAACAAGCATCCCTCGGTCCCCAGGGAGCCACTGGTCGCATCCATTCTTCTTGTGAATCTGGTGATCAGTAACCAGGAGCCATTATATTCCATCCAGTTGAAGAATCAAACTGGTTTGGCTCAAGTTGAATGAGGAGTGTTTAAATATGCTCGACGCTCTGACTCCCGCCAGGGTGGTCAGTAAAACGAATCTCAGCCTACTCCATACGGCCCACGAATGCAATAGTACGCAATTATTGTCCTTTAGCGATTTATATTAAAATAGAGCCTCTTTTGAGCGTCATCCTATCGGTGGAATAAAAACCAAACAGGCAACAGAGGAGGGACTTATCCTGTCGGGATTCAGCACCTTATAACTGACCAAACAAACTGCTTCAATTCAAACAGTACCGAGCTTACCTGCATTCGAGAATACAATTGTTGTCATCCGGAACAGCGTTCTAGCTGCGTCTTATTAACAAGAGTAGAAGACAGATGCCTCGAGATACATGCCGTGATGTCCGACGACCTAGCTCGTGTCATTATTAGGTTCGACTTCGTGGTGGGAAGATTTGCTGTGGCCCGGATCACAAGCACCCTCATCTCGTCCAATTCGTAGTCTTATATGATGGTGGTTCTACATGAGTATCCTGTCAGAAAATGGGGTGCTTCACGGACCCCAAAAGTTCATATACTCTCGGGAATGTGGTTGCTAGCGGTAACCCCAGCTCCGGTCAGTGCTTTATTCAGGGTTGCATCTATAGCCTTTGCCCATCCAAGTGCAACATCCACGGTAGTGTGGTGGTTCAAGACATATCGGCGATCAGTAGGTTGGTGTATTCGCCTCCTCTGGAAAGTGTCATCAAGTAGATGAAATGGAACAAAAGACAATGGTCTTATTTGTAGCGGGTTACACTCCTCACGTCACCGCACCGTTAGTGAGCTTGAACCCGCCTTATTCACGACTAGTAACTAATTTGGTGGCCGTTGCTGTGTCCGCGTGTCAGGCGGCATGCAGTTCTGTACCAGTGAGTACAGTGAACCCTGTAGGCAAAGAAATCTACCGCTCATCAAGGGTAGTAAGTTGTATAAGCCTTGGAATTTATGTGGTTAACCAGTATAGGTCCTAAGGACAACACTCCCCACTATCATCACTGAATGGTGGGCGCAATTCAAGAAAAAGTACGAGATTTCGCATCAACCTAAAAAAAAACGTTTAGTTACTTTGCCGAAACAATACCGCGCACCGCAGTCACACACCACAAAACTAACAACAGCAGCGATCAGGCTGAATAATAGTACGTTGGTTCCGAAGGTTGCTGAACTTACCTCAATCCGTTTCAAGAGAAGCGGGATGAGTTGTTGAGCCAGGGCATTTTCTTGCTTCAGGCCATTCATACGAGACACAGCGTCCCGAAGTTCCACAATATAGTTAACCGATAATCGAAGTACGCTGCCTTTGTTTCGTCTTCCATCGCTGATAGAAAAGAAATATCAATTGGGTGCACGTTGTGAGGACGAAACGAACGGAGGGGGAAGTATATTTATAAAAAATCGAAAGTGAGCCCAAAGACAGCATTCAAAACCAGAACGGAAGTGCAGCTAGAACCACCGCCCATCAGTAAATTTGAACATACTATGAGAGGACCGCGTGGTACCCAAATGCAGCCCCAATGTTCACATGAGGCAATGCACTAAACCAATGCACGTCAGGTAGTCACTGGCACATCTTTTGGGTGGCGAATCGGTTGAGTGTTCATATGGCTCAGGCCACCAGAATACCAAGTTTAGATGTTGTAACAACTCAAGTCAAGAAGTTGTTTTATTACAACATCTGGTGCAAATTCAGCTGCCAAATACACCACAAAAAATGAAGACACGGATAAATACACTAAGTTTGTACAGCTAACTCCAAGCTATGAACAAATAATGCAAAATACGGTCCGCGTAGTATAAAAAGCGACCAAGATAAGGAACAGTGGAAGAGTATTACGCTTTCATGCGTGCTTGAACGTGTTTGTACATGGAGCGAGTAGAAAAGAATGAAGTACATTTAGATAATTTGAAGTTAAGAGGGTGACAGGAGTCAGACGGTATTTTGTGAGCCAGCTTATAACAGACCTGGGTGTGTTGGAAGACTGTGTGATGGAGCAAATTAGTTTTTGGTAAACCACAACACAGGGATGAATGTCAGAGTGACCTGGATATCACACATATATTTTTGTAATAAACCGGGAAAAGTCATTGCAGAAGTATAGAGCCAGTGAGATAAGATGCAGGCATGAACAAAGTATTTTATCAGATGGGAGAAAATAGATAATCGTCTTAGGCAGAAAGTCTTCTTAGTTTTGTAAATACATTTTTGATGTGCTCAGACCCAAGTATTTCACAATTGTTCCCGACTGAGGGGTATATCATTAATGAATAGCGGCTGACACATCTCAAGAGAATCAGAATATAATTTACCCCCACGGAGAGAAAATAAAACAACATATTTAGATGGATTCATGATAAGGTTATGTGCAGAGGAACACTCGTTAATTTGTGAGATATCAGATTGGATAGTGGGGAGAACAGAGTTGCTAGGATAGGGTAAGCCAAGGTTAACGTCATCAGCGTATTTTATCAATAAAGAGTCTTTGTAAAAGGGCATGGAAGCTAGGTAAGTGGAAAAGGAGACAAATTGGCTCCTTGAAGAACCCCTGATTCGAAAGCTAAGGTTGGGAAGACTTTGCCACCGTAGTATGTAAACCGTTTTCGAAAGAAAAAGCAGTCATTCCTCAGGGCAATAAAAGGCGGACAGAATCCATGGTGTGCCAGAATAAACAGAAGTTTAACTCTATCAACACTTCCAAATGCGCCATTGTAGTCTACAAAGGACATTCTTGCAGCTTTGCATTTGTTATCGAGGGATGACAGAATAAAATGCACTAGGGAAGATAGAACATCAAGGGTAGATCGTTTACAACAACTATGCTCAACTGTAGGAGCAAATCGCGTAAAATTATTCTTTCAAATACTTTCAGGGCGGTCGAACTACAAGCTATGGGACGAAATTTAATGGAACTATTCTCGGGAATTGGTGTAATGCTAGCTGTTCTCTAGCGATTCAGTATTGAATCTTAGGAAACACATCGGTTGAAAACTGTGAACAGGATAGGTGACAGCACCGGCGCACTCCTTCAACACAATTGAATGTAATCCATCTAGTCCGTCGGTTTTGTGAGGGTTTAACGTTTAAATATTTCTGTAAGGAATGAGGGGGGGGGAGGGAGGGAATCAAGCCTTTGAACAGACCTGGGATAAGTTCGTCTAATGAATCTACGGTTTATGTATTCAACATTCAAGGACGGAGAGAGCCCTCTGACAGAAGAACCGCAGAACTGTTTAAGCATTCACCAGGTTTCTCGAAGGCTCCATTTGAAAGAATGTATTGAGCACAAACGAAATTTAGACGGTGAACTTCAATCTTAATGGACTTTGATAGGGTATTCATCAAATAATGGTCCTTAGATTTAAATGCGCGTTCTCTTTTGACGCAATCGTTTCGGAAAGAGGAAAAGAAATACGACCAGATCGGGTGTAGAGCGTTTCTGATGGACAGCCGACATTAAAACAGAAGTTGAGATAGTCCGTTAAGTGAAGACAGAAAGCAGATATATCAGGGTCGGACAATACGGTAAAGTCTGACAAAGCAACTATGTGCCTGAGTCTCACCATATTCTCGAGGTAAAGTTGTCGCCTTTGAAGCTTATGGTCTCGGTAACGGGTAAATAAGTAGATTCGTCGTTGCTGCTTTGTGGTGTTTAAACTGCCTTGAGGAATTTAGCGAGAGAAAAAACTTAAATCAGCTTGTGCTTCAAAAATCAGTTTTCTTTTATTGCACACATCTTGTGTGATGAACGGCGTAGACCTGCTATTCAGTGATGGAAACCGGCAACCTGAACTCTGGGACTTGAGGTGGCGAACCACACAAGACCCCCATTAGGATAGGTGTGGTCTTGAACCGGACGACAGTAAAGCTGCCATCAAAGTTGGGTGGCGGGTACCAGTGACTAATCCACTGCACTACTACCACCACTCAAAGGTGTAGTATAAGTTTGTTAACCGTGCCAATAACCCTTTTCTGAAGGACATAAGTCAATAGAAAAGAATATCAGGCAATGCACATTTCAGTTGCAGCTCGAGAACTATACTTTCTCTTCAAGTAAAGCAGCATCAAGGATAAGCCGAATTTAAAATAATAAGGGGCTCAGATAAACTTTAAAAATAAATGACAATCTAAAACTGAATAATACAGGATTAATAAATATCGAGAAAACCGGATCCTGTTCACGTTATTCAGTGCTTTCCCAGAGCCTTTTAGCGGCACCATGTACCTCCACCAACCTCACTGAATTCATTGTTATACTATCTACAATGAGTTTGAGTCAATAAGTGCATCAACATAATCATCGCACGGTGAAGCGAAATTTGCCGATCGCTGCCAAGCTCATAATACACACTAAGTAGCAATGACGTGGGTGGATGGGAGTGGACCCATCCCGAGAGATGGGGAAAAAAGTAAACCACATAGTGGTCAATACAGAGTACACAGTCTAAATGTGCATAAACACTTCTTCAAGCATTTTGGGCTGATAAAAAATAACAACAAGCAGACGGCCACTGATGACAGTTGCCTGCTGTCTATCAGTGTTTCCAACCAACTAATTGTTTTGTGCATTGGGCACGCATAAAGAGTATATGACCTAACTGAATGGACAGCTCCTGCCCCTATTTTGCTCCCCCCGTGCCACCCTAAATAGTCTGAAGTTTTCACACACTGTCCCGGTGAGTTGCGGGCAGATTTTGGTAGATAAAGGACTCTGGTTATGAATCCGTAAGACAATCCACTTGTTTTGGCCGGGGCATTTTGGCAATGTTTCGCCTACGAACAAATCAAGGACCTATTTTCCTTTTATAAGTAGCGTTCCAGTACAGTGATTCGCTTGGGTCGGTGCGGAAAACAACCACTAGGCATGCAAAACAAGGGTCCTAACCAACGAAGCCTAGTCAACTAAATCAGGTGTGACCACGAATGTTACGCTCCCATAATTCGGCATGACACATCGATTTGTCATACAGATCAACAGATTGGTGGTAGAAAACCAACCTTCCTTCTCCTTCACGGGTATACCAGTTTATTTCAATATTACGATTTCTTTATAATAACAGACGAGGCCGAAATTGAGATTACACCTCTTTATTACCCAAGTTCACCGAGCGATTGCCCTCCCTCTTTCTCTCATTTTCTAATCAACTTCGTTGCAGATTGGATTATGCGAGGATAGCGGCATTGGTTTGCCTCCAGGTGCCTTACTTTTTGATCCGGAGTATGCAGATGACATTAAAACGCTAAGTGAAAAAACAGGTAAGTTACAAGCTTTTCTGGATGGTGTGAACGCTAGTGTAGCCATGTTCGGCATGCATTTTGCACTTTCAAAGTGTAAAATGTTGCTACAGGACTGGGTTGGTCCGGCTCCCAATCTCACTCTAACTGAGTAATAGTGGAAGTGGACAAAATTTACCTCCAAGATGTCTCACAGATGAAGTTTCAGCAGGCATACGGAAGGGTCCAGGGCATGCAGAAACCGTTTGACCAGTGCTCCTTTACGATGCGAAGACTTGGTCATTACGAAAATACGATAAAAATGGACTATCCGTGTTCAAACACCGCTGTCACAATCAGACAGGAAGCAGAGTTGCAGGTAATCGCGATCCACCACTGGGGCAGATAGTCAACCTTCATACACTACGTTGGTTCGGGTGTTACGCGTGTCACCAAATAGATTGTAACGACATGTGTTTACCGAGGCAGGTGAGAGGTGGAAACAGGTCGACAGTGGTCAAACCGAGACCTGGCATGAGGGTACAAAGACCCTAACCAAGAGACAGTCATATAGGTTGCATTAAGCCTCTTGGATCGGGACCTCCGGATTAGCGTAACCGATGGGGTATATGGTTGAATGTCGGAAACAGTGACGCAGATGCAACCTTAGTAAAACTGATTCTCTATTTTCGCCTCGATTCTGTTTCCGAAATTCCAACCTTCCCTTTAATCTTTCATTCAAATGGGCAGCCAATGAACGGAAACCAAAACCGCCGCACGAAAGTGTACGATTAGTGGACTTTTATGCTGAAAACAGAAATGGCCGGATCTTATTATCGAAACAGATTCTTCATTTTGCAAGAACTATTCTCTTAAGAAATTGACTGACACCACCCAGTCCCGTAGCTCCACTTTATTCACTTGTATCTCTACTTCCTCCATCAAAACTCACTACAAATTAGTGTCGGTTGGAACCTTGCCTTTCTTTTCTCTCTTATCTAATCTGACGTATTTAACCTCCGGCGACTATGATTGCCGTGCTAGAACGCTCATATAGCTGAAATCTACCTTAGACCACTGAACTTCTCCATTTTCTTTTCGACTCCACTTTCAACTTTCCTTTCTTCTCCTATTCTTCATCCCAATGGGCAGCCAAAAGACAGCAACCAAAACCGGCGCATGAAAGTGCATGGTTAATGGTTGTTCAAACTGAAACTGAAACTGAAATCTACCGTGGATAATTATTGGTTTATTTTGCATGTTCCTCGTTCCTCGTTATTATTCTATGATATTGGAGGTGATCAATAGCTTGAACCATTATATGATATTCAACGAGGGTAACGCTACCAACACCTGGATCATGTGAATGAAATTATTCTTGACTTGAGCCGTGTAGGAAGGCGATGAGTGGAACGAAAATCGGTGTAAGAGTTTGGTATTAGTGAAACAGGACGGAACTGCATACTCTGTCAGTTGTGATGAGCTGAACCGATCCCCCAAATCCGACACCAACCTCCTGTTGTGATTACATTTATAAACACAAACAGTCACATGATTGTGAAATTTCAAGTATGATAGATGCGAAAGGCGACATTTGCAACCACTGAATGAACGCGCAGATGGACTGACGATCACGATAAGCAGAAAACGAAGAAGACACGGAATCAACAAAAAAAACACAAGCACACAGACACACAATAAACGGAACTGTGCTTGTGTGGTGGTCTAAGATAAAGTTATCTTTTTGCTCCTAATTTAGGATTTGTTTGGCACCCAAACATCTCAAGAGCAGCAGCAGATGATCGAAGTCCCTGTCCGCTGCTTGAAGTACAGCGTTGTGTATCAATTGTTCATGCTGGTTTGTTCTGTGCAATTGCCATCCTCTGGTTTCAGGCTATTTTCGATCGACGCGTGTTGAGTACGGACAAGTTGATTAAATTTCCGAACATTCCTGTCGTAATCGAGCCACTTATGAAAGAGGAAAGTCAGCATTCTATTCGGGAAACCCGCAATCATTCCCACTGTAATCAAAAATGTTCTGAAGCAGAGACTATTGCGCAAGCTGACAGTTAAAGGTCATCTTGTAGTTGTCGACCGTCAACCCTGAAATACATGTTCTCGTGGAACTTCTTGAGGGAAGACGAGGTTAAATTCTTAGAAGCACTAAGGTAGGTGCTGAGACATCTGTTTCGGAGAGGTAGAAAGCCCTCAACTAGTGCTTCATTCTCACGGAAACCCCACGAAACACCTATTGCGGAGGAAACAATATGATGAATCAGTCACAGAATTTCCCCAGGCCCTAGCAGAACTCGTGGTGACGGCCTAAATCGGCAAAATCTACAGCCGAGCGGAAAACCATGTTGTGAATGGAGTTGAGGAACCCACAAGATGACCAGCTCAATATCAACTTTATGTTCAAACAGTTTTCAACAGCCACTAGAGACGGCGAGCAAATGATGTAAACACTCTTAGAAAGGAATGAGCTGATGTGTGCAGAGCAACAGAATAAACTCTCGATCAATGAAAAAAGGGAAGACTGGTCTGTGATGCAACAACTGTGTATGGTTCCGTCGAAGCGCTCAGCGATGTGAGCACAATCCTCGAGTAAATCCAGATAACCAAAGAATGCGTAGGGCGCCATATAGTGATTGTATTTTTTTCTGTCGTTAACGGCGTTACCGCACACAGGACGATGGGTGTCGGTACACGGTGATGGAACAGCACGAGCAATTAATGCAAGCACACAGTACCGGGTTAGAAAAACAAACTGTTTTAATTGAGCGCGATCAATTCCAACGATAAAAATGAGAGGTAGTTACTCACACGTCTCGATAGAGTTCTGGAGGAAGAAGACTGCTCAAATAGACGATCTGGGAGTTGATATAATCCCGACGCTTCCGTTCGACTGAAAGGAAATCAACAACAGATTGTTGTCAAACAAAACGTGTCTGCCGGTGAAACATATGTGTATAAAGATACGAGCATACTGGATTCCATCTCATTCAGGGTTTAACAGTGAATAATATTAACCTCATGAGAGACATAAAGTGATTATTAAGTATGTTCGTCTCTCTAAATATCAAGTGAATCTCGGCGAGTTACTGGAGCCAAATTTAAAAAATCCGAACAAACCAGACGGTGTGACGGTGAATGAGCGGTCAAAACGACGGTAGAATGATACCTAATCGATGGCTTAAGTGCTACAGCCATTGAACCCACAAACTATATTAAAAACAATCAAATCGGGGTCAAATCTCAACACATTCTAAAATTCCGCAACATAAATCAAGCAAAAACATTGAAAATTAAAAATAAGAAGTATATGTATATATATTCGTCACAATAAACTCCTTTGTAACACCAGGTAAATTTGTTTGGACAGCTCTTTCAGAACCAGTCCACTGAAGAATCAATACTATGATTCAATGATTTGTACGTGGGTTAGGCGCTACTAACCGCAACAAAGGCGACTGAAGCGGCTGTAATGAATGTTTGACAATAATTAGTATATGAATGACCGGACGAAAAAATATATGCAAAAAAGAAGATAGATGATACAAGGATTAGAAATTATTCGACGAAGCTGAGTATTGAGGGGGAAACCATTCGAGGTCAGGTGGGATCGGGATCATTGAAATGAATGGTTAGGGACACTGAGTGATATGGCTCAGTGGCGTTCGCGGATCTTCTCAACTTCTTTGCAACCCTAAACCACTGAAATTCTCCATTTTCTCTTCGACTCTACTTTCAACTTTCCTATTCCTATCTTACTGCTGGATTCAAATGGGCAACCAAAAGACAGTAACCAAAACCGGTAAACGAAAAGGTATGGTTAATGGTTGTACAAACTGAAACTGAAAAGTTTCTATTGGCATTGTAAAGAGATGGCATCAGTCAATCCGGGCATACCAGCAAAAAAACCCAACTTCTGAGTTCTACACTAATCTCGCTGTTCCGGTCAAATATTGTTAATTCCTTCGGTTGACCCGACTTTCATTGTTGAGTACAACGTGAACTGTGCTGTTCAATGCTAACGGTGTAAATAGGCAGTGGCATTTGGGTCAAAAAAAGCGATGAAATTTGAAGGAGTCTTCATCTCAGCGGAATTTACTCACTATCATATAGTGGGCTTCGGATGGAACCGCCCACGCAACGATTCCCGTCAGCATTCACGTCTGAGAGTGGTGACCGATCGATCCATCCATCTTGGCATGACTCACCTTCTTAACCGGTCGACTGATCACAATTAACACCGGGTTCGTGCATTCTTCTCTAAAGCTCATTCGGTCAACTGTCAAGGTCAAGGTCTTCCCGGAGGAAGGAGAGTTAACCCCACCCGACCAGAACCTTCATCCTTACTCAATCCCCCAACTCTCGAATTAAGAGTCAAAACCGCCCTCGCCACCCGTGCTGAGAGCGTTATGCCTGCAAGCAAGAAACTCACCAAGCCTGTCTTAAACCAATTGATAAAGCAGAAGCTTAATCAAATAGCACTGACTGGAACGATACTGGTAGATTAATCAAGGCTAGCCGAATGTCCGAATTTCCAAAGGTCGACCTTNTTTCATGACGCCCTGCTACTGAGATAAAACACGGTGAGAATCGAAGGTTAGTCTATCGAGCGCTATACAAATCAGTAAATGTACCTTCAGTGATAATCATCCAGCGGTGGAGAAATTCGCATGCCCTGTTACGCACCCAAGTCCAGATCTGAACTACGGTTACACCAACCTATAAATCTTAACGACCGTTTTGTTCCGCGCTTCCTGTTTCTTTGCTTCTAATGATGGTGGTACTATCTATCGACGACA